GAAAGAAAGAAAGAAAGAAAGAAAGAAAGAAAGAAAGAAAGTTAGTTCTTTGTTTTTAAATTACTGGCAGGTTTTTTCCATGGTGTATTCATAGTAGACGAATTTTTGAACATGGGATTTTTGTTTGTTTCGGGAGCAGATTGCCGATTTGATGGGGCCATTTTTAGATGACCATACCCATATCCGTGTTGTGAGCTGCTGCATACAGGTTATGAAGAAAGTAGTGGAGCATGACTTATTAAGTTTCCATTTGGAGTTTTTATGGCTACTGTTTTCTAAAATGCAATGTATACTGTATAATGTTATATGTTTAATGAAATGGTCAACCTGAATGTGAAAAAGTGTTCTTACTATACTTAGCATTAAATGAATTCCACGACCTGAATCCACCGATGAGACATTGTTTAGAGCAGACAAAGTTTAAATGAAAGTTTGGTATCAAAGATGAACCAAGTTTCATATTTGGATTCAATGGTGCCTAAATTTCACAAAATTTGAGCACTAATTGGAAGAAATTGTATGAGCCATTCTGATGAGATCTTCATTATATTGGATAGAAATTTAATGAGGATAACTGTTTTGACATTTTGGCCACATCTAAACATGAAAACAGAGCTGTTCTAGTATTGACACCAACCTGGAACTAAAATCTTAGGGGAAAGGGTTTAAATCCTGGGATTCAAGTAAGAATGCCCCATAAACATTAAGAGGTTCCAGTTTTTCAATGTACAGCAATATTAATATTGCAAATTACACATTTCAACCAGCTAAAATTAGATGCTGTCAAAGGCAAGGAACACTAGTCTTAAATGTTTGCTAAAGAGTGTTAATATTTATAATACTAATGTGTTTTACTGTTAGCCCAGGGTTTAGTTAGTGCCTTTCATTCTCAAGATATTCCAAAGTATTTTGCTAATGCATTGAATTAAATACTGGCGATGCCATGAATGACTAAGCAAATGTGCCAGACAGTATGAGCTGAGCAATAGGTCAAATGCAAAAGATCTGTGCTTTGGAACTTATTCATTTGAGAGAAGGAATGTTGGCCAGGGCACCTAGGTTTTCCTCTGCATTTTTCTGAAATATATCCAGGTGGACACTAAAGATCCTATGGCATCCACCGGAGACTGGCAAGAGACATTGTATTTTAGATACCTTGATTTACAACCTCAACTCAAAAGGTATAGCTCTTCCCATTGCAATGAACTGCAATGTCAGCATTTCATATTAACTCCTGTCCTGGTATACAACCTGAACTGTTGACTTTTTGACCCACAGGCAATAATATCATAAAAAATCATCATGAGATCAGTGGAATGAAAAATGAGGGAAGCAGGGATTCCAAGGAAATTTCAACAAATTCAAAAAATGTCCAGTCCTAGTGTGTTTTAAAATAGCTCAGATTTCATTTTTAAGTGTCAAAGCAGATAATTCCTAAAGAAGATTTTAAATTTTAAATTTGGAAAATGGAACATCCCAATTGTGAAAAAGTCCCACAATATGACTAATCTGGCAGTAACAAAAAAATACAGAAAAAGCAAAAATCTGACAGAAGAGCAAACGCTATTTTTCTCAATTAAACTTTTAACTGAAAATGGGGAAAACAAAAATTGAAGAAGCCTTTGGTAACAATTCGGTTTTTTAAAGAGGGACCATATTTCAATTTAAAGTGGTTTCATTAGAAAAAATTGCCATCACCTCTAATGTTAAAAACACTGTGCATGTTTTAAATGCTTGAAAAAACTTAAAATACAGAAAGAAATTGGCTACAATGGGACATAAATACATGCATAAGTGCTTTTCTGAATAGAGATCCTTTCCAGAATTGGGGCCATGGTATATTTTCAAACATTTATACTTTTTTGTTTAAAAAGGGAAAGTCCTGTTGATATTAACACTAACCCATGCCTCTTTTCCAGTTTGCATTTTTAGAAGGAAATAAATATCTTCTTGAAGCAAAAGTAACAGCAGAGCAGACACACCCAGACAGGACTCTGTTGTGCCCTGTCAGGACTGCAGCCTTCTTCACACCTTGGGCTTACAGGGGTAGGAAGTCACTCAATACAGGGAGCCCTCGACATCTCCTCTCTCATAGCCCCACTCTCTCATTCCTGTGTGGTTCTTTCAGCAGCAGTGTGGCTTCCCTGCAGGCAGGGGTATAACCTCTTCCTCCTCCTTGAAGTCTTGGCTAGAGTTTACAGCTCTATTATCTGAAATTTCACTTCATTTCAATCCCTTTCTTGTTTCCCAGAATGAGATACATGGGAATCAAGGAAGGAATTAGGATTACACAGCAGTTCAGAAAATAGGACTTCAGAGAAATGAGTGTGTGGGGTGTGTGGAATAGATTGGAGATAATGGAGAATGTTAAAATTCATAAAATTATAGCACCATAAGGGACAACTGTGGTAATCTTTCCCAACCTCCTGACTTTCCTGAATTAATTCTTCTTTGAATTGAAACATCTCTTTTAGAAAAACATCCATTCTTGATTAAAAAAACCCCAAAAACCAGTGATGGGGAATCTGGCAAGATTCTTGGTAAATTGTTCCAGTGGTTGATTAGCCTCACTGTTAAAAACATGTACAGGTTGCACCTCCCGGGTCCAACACGCTCAGGAGCTGAGGTGTACCAGACCAGGGAGCTTGCTGGATCAGTGGAGGTCAGTACTTCCCTGTTGGCTGCTCCACTCCTGGGCAGCTGTGGCCAGACAGCCCGCCTCCATATCATCCATCTTATTTGCCTTCCTGAAGCATACAGGACAGAGAAGGAGCAATAAAATCAGCATAGTCTATGCTGGCTCATCTGATCCTGAGAAGCTGAAACATAGATATGAGGAGAGATCAGGATATGTGAGACTGCCACCGGCTGGCACCTATGTTGATTCGAACACACACACAGTCCCTGAGAGGAATTTCCCACTGAGAAAACAATGTCCAGTACTTCAAAATTTAATCATCTCAAATCTCTCTTACAAGTGTAAATTAAGTTCACAACTCCCTTGTAAGAACTGGTCTCACAGCAGACAGACCAGCATCAATTGGCATTACAGATAAGAAAGAGAAATACGTGACCCCATGAGTATATAAGATGGGCCCAGCACACACTCACTTTGAGTGTCATTCTACCCTCTACCTGCTGGTCGGGTTAGGTGTTTGACCTCCCGAGGTTCTATGGGGACGCCCACCTCGTATTTTCGTCTTTCCTAGGAATTGAGGGACCGGCCCTGGCCTGACATGCTGGAGTCGAGAGGCACAGAAGGGGGTAAAAATGGTACCTGGATGTGGTCCTCTGTCTTAAGTGTACACATAGAAAGAGTAAGCTGTTACTTGGTACCATTATTTCTATTTTTCTATCTTTATCTTCTTTGTAACCATTTTTAAGACCTATATTTTGCTAATAGTTAAGAAATAGAGCAATAGCCATTGTAACCATATGATTTATAAGCTTCTTTAATAAACCTGTAACTGTTTAAGCTTTAACCTGCCTCCTTCAGTTGCTGTAACAGAACCAAGCACAATTTAAAAGAACTTCAGCCGGTCTAAAGGGACAGTTATAGGAAGAGCTTGGGCGTTTGGATCTGTGTCACTCCCAGGTGACAGGATCCACTGGGGCATCTTTCAGTCTTTCTCCAAGGCTGCCCGCTGCGAAGGAATTATGAAATTCTAGCAGCTGAAATCTAAGATGTAATAAGCTCTTCCTATATAACGGGGTGTCTGTTGGCCTGCTGGCCACCCTCTGCGATGGGACCCCGGTCCTAGCAGTAAAGGCACGGACGTTAAACCTTTTCTCGGAAACATACACACACACACTGCCCTGACCGTCGGCTGACAGCAGCTGACCATGGAGCTCCCTAGCCCTGTCGCTAGCACTGCTAAAGCTGCCTGGCATAGCTCTCCATCCTGCTGCCCACCCACTGCCACAGGGTCTCTCAGGGTTCTCAGTGGGGGCCACTTGGCTGCTGCCAGTCCTGCTGCTGCAGGGTGTTCTCCAGTGTTCCCCCTGCAGGCCCTGCTGCCTCCGGGGGGGTTTCCAGCCGGGGCGGTCTGGCCAGCCCACCCTGCTACTGGGGCTGCCCCACTGCCGCTAGTGAGTCCAGCTGCCTACCACTGCCAGCTCCACTTGAGCTGGGGGTTCTCTGGCAGAGACTGCCTGGTCACCCTAGTCCCACTACTACAAGGGATTTCCCAAGGTTCCTGACCAGAGCTGCCTGGCTGCAGGCAGCCCAGCAGCAGCTGGGGGTTCCCCCAGTTGGGGCTGGGACTCCCCAGCCATATGGCCCCACTAATGCCAAGGGTTTCTGGGCATCACCTGGCCCCATTGGTGCTGGTGTTTCCAGGTCAGGGCAGTTTCCAGCCCCAGATGCCGCTTGGCCCAGCCAGGGTTTCCCAGCCCCTGTGCTGCTCTGGGGCTCTTTGGTCCAGCAATATCTTTGGCCCTGGCTGGACCATGGATGTCGCTGGACCAGAGAGTTCCAGATTTGGAAGGTTCAAACTGTAGCTTATTTGTAGTCTGAATTTGTCTAAATTCAGCTTCTGGCCCTCCAATCTCATTATACCTTTATCTGCTAGATTGAAGAGCCCATTAATGAATTTTTGCTAGGTACTTATAGACTGATCAAGTTACCCTTTAACTTGCTCTTTGATAAACTGAATACTCTGGACTACTTGAGTCTTTCACTACAAGGCCTTTAACAATTCTTTTGGCTCTTCTCACAACCTTCTCTTATTTATCAATATTCTTCTTGAATTGTAGACACCAGACGCAGACACTGTATTCCAGAAATGGATGCACCAGGGCCAAATACATAAGTAATATAATCTCTATGTTTCCACTCAATACACATCCAAGGATCACATTAGCTCAGGGAGTTCATGTTCAGCTGATTATATATCATGACCCCAAGTCTTTTTTTCAGAGTTACTGCATTGTTTGATCTTAGATGCATAACTTTATACATGACCATATTGAAACACATTATTTGCTTCTATCTATCTTACCAAGCAATCCAGATAATTTAAGTACCCATGACCTGTCCTCTTCGTTATTCATCACTTCTACCATCTGAAAACTTCATCAGTAACATTTTTTTTCCAGTGCCTCGATAAAAATCTGAAATAGGGTAGGGCCAACAATGGATCTCTGCAGGACCTTACCAGAAATGCACCCACTCAATGATTCCCCAATTAAATTTTGAGACCTATCAAATACCTGGTTTTAATGTAATAAATGCATCATGTTTAATTTGTATCATTCTAGTTTCTTAATCAAAATGGTGTTTAGTACCATATCAAATGCCTTGTAGAAGTCTATTACATAAACACTATGATCTCTATATCCCAAACTTATGATTTCATAAAAAAAAACTCAATCTGGTTTGACAAAATCTATTTTCCATAAACCATTGTCTATCTTTCTTGGTGGAGGTAGATGAGCTTGGAATGCAGGAAAAGGGCTTTCCCCCTTGATCATCTGCCAAACTGGTATGAGATCAGGTGCCAAGAAGGGGGGAGTAGGGGCCCCCTTCCTCTAGCTTCTGTGTAGAAATGGCAGTAGACAGCCATTCAAGATGAAAGAAAAGCAGCCAGAAGTGGGGACTGGGAGATGGAGAGAGGAGCCCATCAGCTCCACCCTAAAAGGCTTCTCTGTGGAGCTTCACATGAGATAGCAGGGTTTGGAACTTAGCTTCAGTTGCTCCCAGAAATGTATGCCTAGAAAGGGGAAGTGAAGTCTCATTCTCTGAAAGACCCCTGCTGTGTCACACCCACTCACATGCTGAGTGTGTGGGTCTCTCAGACAATAAAAGGGGGAAGGAAATACATATAAAACAGAGCAAGACAAGCTGGTCCGACTCCCCCTCCCCACAACCAGCATATTGTGCAAGGGAAAACTCAGGGGAAGGCGGACACCAGAAAAGAGATTTTATTTCAGTTTGGTCAAATTGACCCATTTCAAGTTGACAGGGCTGCTTTAATCATACCCAGGCACAGCATCCGTGCCAGCCAATACAGAGATTTGATGTGCTTGTATCATCAGGATGCAAGCAAAGATTCAATCAGCTCTAGAGCAGCAGCATAAAGTAGTTCAGTGCGTGTGAGCGTGAGGGAGAGAGGTGGCTGAGATCCCAGTTAATCTGCTGGAGATCAGGCTAGTGCTGGAACCCTGCAATGACTCCCTCCCCCGCCCTTTCTTTTTCTTTTCTTCTCTACTTTCATACTTAACTCTAGGACGAATGAGCAAGGCGCTCCAGCCATTTCGAGCGGCAACTTTCCACCCCCTGGAGCTCAGCACAGAACAGAAGCATCGATCCATGATCTCAGGGAAGACCCTTTTGCAACATGCGACTAACTGATGGAGGGGGAGTGATGGGCTAAGAGAAAAAGAGAGTGGAGTACAACGGGACCCAAAAGAGCAACAACAGCTATTCATGTGTAAATACTTCATGGGAAACGTACACTTCTAATACTCTGCACAATGAGCAAAAAACACCAACAGAATGAGGAGGAAATATAGCCTAACTCTGAGCAGCTTGTGAGTGCAAGGAACTGGCAGAGGCTCAGCATGAATTAAAAAGGATTGAAGAAGATGGAGAGCACCCTTTGCTGTGAGCCCAGGCTCTCTGCTATGGATAGCAGCAGGGGACTCTTATTTCTCCTTCTCTACATTTTAATAGGCATCCCTCAGACTTTCCAGCAAGTGTTAAGGATCGGTAAGTGCCAAGTGTGCTGGTGAGGGGAGGGGGGAAGGGCCCAGTGTTTCTCTTCTGCTTTTACCTCGGGGGGTGAGACTGGTGAGAAATGTGCATGGGATTTATAAATTGTATAGATGTTAACACACGTTCAGATTGTACATACAGATTTTACAGTACATTCAAATGACTATATGGCCTTAATCCCCTTCAAATATTATGGGTACAATTTATTATACACATACACTACTTTAAAAAAAATCATAACTCAGCTTTGTTTCACACACACTAAATGAAAGGGTTTCTGATTACCATGCTGTCTCTTGAACTACTTAGCAAGCGTCATGCTTAGGTGACCCGGCACACACAGCTCGGAGCTGCAGGCTGGCTGCAGTGCACACACTGTGGCTGGGGTACTGACTCGTTGGTAGATTTCTATGGAGTGCTCCACAGTGCTTTTCATTCAGTCCTGTCCTTTGCCTTGGAGCAGCACCCTCTCCCTCCTCTCTGTCATAGATTCTGTTATACCAGGAGCTCTCTAAGGCCAGTGAGATGGTCCAGCGAGAACCCAAGGTACCGGAGGGTGAGAGGTTGAGGTGAGTTTCATTGCTGAAGTTCCACTCAGAAAGTCTCAAAGTCTGTCAAGTTTGCTTTCAAATTTAGCTCCGGGTCAGAGGCTTTAATAGGCAGGGTAGCTTTCCTACACAATGTGGTCTGTTAACCTCTGAACTGGCACTTCCATTTATAAATCACTTGGAAGACAGGTATTCAAGTACTATAGAATTAACTGAAGTCCTAAAAGACTTAAACCAAAGTGGCTAAGATGAGACCCTGTAGGCTAGAAGTTGCCCCCTCTTCCTTCTGACAGCAAGAGAGACTTCTAGCTACTCAGACAAGATGACAAAACCTCCTAAACTCTCATGTAGAACTGACAGACATCTGGGTGTCTAAAATGCACAATGGCAGAGGATTTAATATGAACATAAAAACAATCAAATATGATGGTTTTTAAGTCTAGTCATTCATTACAATGGCAACGAGACAACAACAAAAATGATTCAGTGACCTTAAAATGCATGCCAAAAAGTAATGAGATTTTCTTGTTCAGAATCAAAGAGCAGAAAGCTAAAACATGCAGAATGCAAATGTTATAGGGCATAAAGGGGATGGGGAAGAGAGAAATCCCTATCTTCCTCTGCCCCCGTGTAACCTTTACTTGGCATGAATACACCACAAGCACTGTACATACATGTAGCCCCAGAAAGCAGGAATTTATTTTTAAACAGAAAACTCTGTGCCATGGAAACAAGGCTTAGTTCACAGACAGCTACTCTTCCTACAGTGGGTTTCTTGTGTCACTCAAGTCAAACAGTGAATACAAAGTATCAAAAGAGTTAAGGACTGGAAGAAACTGTCAGAAAAAATAAAGGCAGTATCTCCCACCTCCACTTCCTTGCACTCTCTCCCTTCTACTTGATATATGTCTAGCATGAAGAGTGGGGAAATGTGTGTGGAACAAGAGATATAAACATACACAAAGGAATATTTCTGCCTTTAGTCAGCTGTCTGAGGGTTTGATCCTGCAAACACTTAACTTGCTTCATATTATGCACATAAATTGTTTCATTTAAGTTAAGGGGACTATTTGAACTCCTTTTCACTTTAAGCATATAACTTTCATAAACTTAAATAAAATAAAAGTGGCAAAATACTTGTCCTAAGGGGTCCAATCTGGCAAAACTCTGAGCAGTGATTGCAAGGCAAACAGAAGCTGAACATTATGTCCAAAGAGTGTAACTCTTTGTATTCAATATATTCACAATTATTTTGTGAAATTTTCACTGCATTGTAATGCAGTGAAGCTGTGTAATAATATCAAAACAAGCTATAGTATGTGAAGGAAATACCCGTGTAGAATGTAGAAGAAATAATAATCGGCACGCTTACATGTGATGGAAAATTCAAAGCATGGCGCTGCAGTCTTCAATGAGAAACTGGCCTACATAAAGAGAGAAAAACAGTTCAACGTGTTACCTTAATATAATAAACAGCATCACTGTGCTTTGGAAGTACATTAATTTGGCATACTTAATTTCCTTACCTTAAAGTGAATAACAATTGAAACAAATAGGACTGCTCACAAGCTTAAAGTTAAGCATATGCTGAAGTGCTTTGATGGATCAGGGCCAGATTGTTCAGCTCCTTGTAAGATCAAGCCCTGGACTGTAAACTCTTTGGAGTAGAGACAATATTTTCTATGCATTTGTATAATAGCTAGAACGATGGGACTGGTCCCTTTGAATGCTACTACAGTATAAATGAAACAACAGTGGGTTGTGCCCACGAAAGCTCATGATACCATCTACATGTTTACTTAGTCTTAAAGGTGCTGCGAGACTGTTCATTGTTTAAGTTTTTCCACTATACACCTAGTAAGCTTGAATCAAAGCACTATGTATACATACAAATGTACACTGCAGGAGAAAAACTGTTCGTATACTGTTTTTAAATGCAGATATTGAATTTTATAAAAATGTACAATTTGATTGGTTAGTCTGTGTATAAAAATGGCATAAACATGTTAATTCTTCCTATCCCTATGCTATAACAGGTTTCTCTGTAGAATGTATCACTTTTACAGGTGACAAATGGAATGATGTGGATAACTCCTCAATCACATTTTTAGATAACAAAATACTTTTTAACAGTGAAAAACCTGCTATTAAGCCATCATGCTTTCTTATTCAAGTTCTAGTTAATGAAGGAAAGGAATACACTGGTATAACACAGTGCAGTACTTTGTATCTGAATGAATACATTGGTGGCTTAATTGCATTTTTCACTGATAGACTGCTTTGGATTATTTGATTTTGTTGGTTTATATAACAAATTAGTGTACTTTACTGCTTACATCTAATTACTAGAGAAAGAAGCTCATGGAGGAACATGTGATATTTAAAATTCTAGATACTTCTCATTCTCTAGGTAATTATTACTTTGAAAATGTTGCTTAACACTTTGAACAAGAGAAGACAAGTAAGGGATTTCAATGCAAGCAATAAAACAAAATCAATAGCTCACAAATAAGGGGGGAGGTCTAGGTTGGATATTAGGAAAAATTATTTCACTAGGAGGGTGGTGAAGTACTGGAATGGGTTACCTAGGGAGGTGGTGGAATCTCCATCTCCCATCCCTAGAGGTTTTTAAGTCTCAGCTTGACAAAGCCCTGGGATGGTTTAGTTGGGTTGGTCCTACTTTGGGCAGGGGGCTAGGATTCTATGATTTTATGAATCTCTCCATAAATGAGAGATTTTGAAACACAGTGCTTCACTCAGTTTCAGACAATATGACATTCAGATTCTACTGCCCGACTGGGCTATTCCCATTCAGGTACATTTTTAAAAGTGTTTTCTTTTGTGCAAGTTCAGACATCAAAATTCCAAGCAATAACATCTATAGCCACTCATACACTGACCTATATTCTATAATGTATCATTAAACTTCATTAACCCAGTACTTCTGGTTTAGAAGCAAAGAATGTCTACTTTATGCACCTCAGTCAACCTTTATACCTCATTCAGTCTATCCTAAGCTATTGGCATAAAATAAATGAGCATGCCCAGTATAAAGCTCAAATGAGAAAAGTAAGAAATATATATTTTTTAAAACCCATGCACTAAACTGTGTCACAATAGCTCTCAAAACAGTGAAATACAAGACTGAAACAGAATTATTTGTTCATTATGAGTGGACTCACAGCTTTACTATTTCATAGCAATACTTAACTTATACCATTCATAAATCCAAGTTATAAGAATACCCTCTAATGGCATGCTGAGCTATCACATGACAAATTACAAAATGTATTAATGTAACCCATTTTCTCATTTAAAATTGGCAAAGAAATTTCATATATTAATATACCAATGAAGTTCCTTAAAAAGGAAGCATGTTAAAATTTCAATAAATATTTTAAAACTGTAACTTGGCTGAAACATGGCATTAATCTCTAAACTTAGTATTTCTTAAGAAGTAAATGACTAATATTTTAGGTTTCATAGGGAAAATTTTAGGGGCTGAAACAGGTAAATTGCATTTTTTGTTCAATTTTCATGGAACTTTTTGTATGGACTATCACAGTGGTATCAGAATTTTGGAAACATATAGTAAAATCCCATACTAACTTGTTGCCTAACTGGGCAAAACACTCATTGAGATTCAAGGAGTAAGAAAAGGAGGTTCTCTCCTATTCTATTTAAGTAAGTGAGAGAGAGAGTGTGTGTTTGAGAGAGAGAGAGAGAGAGAGATTTTCTCTCACACACACATGAATCAACCTAATTTACAACATACATCTTAAATAAGAAGTTGAAATATTCAATATAGATTTGAAAACATCCTCCTTCAGGATGTTTTTTTCTTTCTTAATATCACAGATATAAGGTCTTTCTAATGCGATATTACTGTACCCATGGAAGGCATAACGGTAACTTGACAAGACATTAATATTGCAAACATGCAATATTGTAAATTTGTAAATTACTAGATTAAAGCCTTGCATGTAATGTCAATGAGATGAATATAACATTAATATTATTCAGTAGGGACAGTGTTTTCCTGTGCATTTACAAAGTTCCTATCATATTTTTGGGCATTTCTACAACATAAATATTAAATAATATCTACTACTATATATCTGTTTTGACGTGGACTTTAGTAATAAAATTATGAAACTTGACAAAGTAGTATAAATGCATTGGACTGTATTGTATACACAAATCAGACATCAGCTGCTTTTTGGTCATCAGAATCCAGATACTCAGTAGTTCAGGATTTATCCTTACCATTATTCACCACACTTAACAGCAAACTCTGTAACAAATCATTTATTAAGAATTACTGCTTGAAAACACAGAACTGAATTATGTGACAACTACACCCCCACAGAAATCAGTGGAGTTCCACAACATATAAGTCAGTTAAGCATTTGGCCTAGAAGCTTTGAAAGGATACTGTTAGTTTATACTACTTTTAAAAGATAAATGAGAAACCATTAAGGAAATATAACATCTCAAGAACTCAGTCCTGCAAACCTTTACTCACAAAAATAAAGACAATGGTGACCACTAAGGTTAATGCATGTGCTGACTATAGTGAAAACACTTGTAATAAGAAAAGGTTTCCATGATTTGGCCCTCAGTAACTAAAACCAAAATATGTTAAAGCTCATTGACTGTTCACTTTTTGTTCTTTACTTACATTTGGCAATGAAAACAGACCAGCCAGTTTTACTTTGAGTTCCAGATTATTTCATTTTCTGGTTCTTTTGTTTTAGGAGAATCTTACAATACTGCAGATGTTGAGGGGAATATTTGAACATCCTGCACCAGAGCCTTCACTGATGTAAATCAGCATCACTCTATTGAAGTCAATGGATCTATTCTGATTAAACCAGCTAAGGGCTGAGCCTAAGTATTTAATATATGAAACATGGGGAAATCTTTCATAATTCCAGTAATCTGCCACCCACACATTGACTAGTACCTGGTAAAAATGAAGCCCTTCATTTATTTTTGCCTTCATTTTACCTTTGTTAGTTCAAATTACTTTATTTCTGGAATTCATTGATGAGTTGAGCAACAGTGATCACTAAGCACACTAACTATATTTGTGTGATGACTGCTACTTTTGACTTTGATAACTCAATAAGTATGCTGAATAACTAAGTGCATGCACTTGCTAGAATTTCATTATGGCTGAAAATGTGTAAACAGCAGCTTGACATTTGAAGAAAATATAAAAAGAGCAAATTCACTTTGCAGAAAAATGGCAATCTGTGTCTTTGTTGTAATAAGACGACGCTTACGCTTCAAACGTGTGCTGCAGCATAAAATAAATTAGCTATAAAGACACAGGATAGTTCTCAAATGCTCTGGAGCACTGTGGCATTTAGGCATTTCTCAGCTTGTCAGATTGTGCAACAGGCAGTCAACCACTTAGGACCCAATTAACATCATAAGATGGATGATAAGTTGCTCTTGTACTGGAGCAGTTGTCAAAAAAGTCAGTGGAAAACAACAAAGGTAAAGTGCTGAGACTAGAACATGGCAATTAAATTACAAAAGGCTACAAATGAATTTGCCTAAATTACACCCAAACTAGAACTTCTCCAGAAGTGTAGAAAGTATGGAGAGAAATAAAAAGTTTGTAGAAGATAGGACATGAAGATACTGTCAGTCAGACAAATACTGCACCTAAGAATAATTTTATCTAGAGACCTTCTTCTGTTCATTTCATTTAGCCTTATGTCAATATTTTTTCCAACATTCAAGGAGGATGCAGGTAAACAATATGAAAATACCACAAAGGGATATTATCAACCGTGAAAAATAATTATCCACATCTTTTTCACTTCTGGCCACATTTCTATTGTGATTGTGTTCTAAACTGTGTGATGATTTAAAACATATATAGGCTCTGACCCTGCTAACAAACTCCATGCAGAATGTTATAAGGAAGAAGGAGAAAAATTGTTCTCCTTGGCCTCTGAGGATAGGACAAGAAGCAATGGACTTAAATTGCAGCAAGGAAGGTTTAATATTAGGAAAAAACTTCCTGTCTGTCAGGGTAGTTAAACACTGGAATAAGTTGCCTATACGGGTTGTGGAATCTCCATCACTGGAGATATTTAAGAGCAGGTTAGATGCACACCTGTCAGGGATGGTCTAGACAGTGCTTGGTCCTGCATGAGGGCAGGGGACTGGACTCAATGACCTCTTGAAGTCCCTTCCAGTTCTAGTATTCTGTTATTCTATGACCCATGCACTAGCATGGAGCCCCATTAAAGTCAGGTGGATTTTAAACTGGCTTATGGATTTACCAACATTGCAGATACTGCAGGGGAATATTTAAAAACTTTGTGCCTGAGCCTTCACTGATGTAGATCAGCATCACTGTATTGCATCAACATCCATCTACAGAGCTTTAGACAAGAGACAGATTAAACACACAGCCTCACTGAAATCAATGGGAGTTTTGCTACGGGGATCAGGATTTCACCCTACATGTTTTGTTTAAACAACATAATTATATTGACTTGTGACTGAAAGATTTGCACCCTTAATTCTTGCCAGTTATCTGGAATACATAGTGGTGAGGTCATTGCATAAGAAGTAACCAATATGAATAAAAGGCAGGTTTCTCTGAATGTGCCCTTTATACTTACCACCCTATTTACACCCTTTTAATGAAGTCATTTTTCTACTTTCTGCATATATCTCATAACAAACTTACAGCTCTTAATTTGATATACGTAGAGGACATTTGCCTCATTATCAGTCCTTGCCGTTAACTATAAACTGCTCCATACAGCTCAGTCTTCAATTAACATTTTCTATTCACTCAGTGAATACAGCCCCACTACTGTTTTTTCATTACAAAATATTTTGTATATCCTGGTCAGCAATAAAGCTTAAATCTTCTCCCCCCCTTCAAGTATTTTAAACAACTGCCTCTAATCTTCTTTTCTCAGAAAGGCTTGATTTGACTGACTGGACCATAGATTGTACTGCAGTAAAAAAAAAAAAAAAAAAAGAAAAAAAATCCTATCCCAGAACTGATTAGTTTTACTCCAGAGCTTTGGATCTGTGACCCGCAAGCCCAGTTTGTCCTAGTTTTCTGTTGACTTTAAGCTTTAAAATACAATAATGAGTTTATGATTTTGGGAGAGGTTTAAAATAGGAATGTTGCTATTCCCACTCTCCATGTGGAAGTCCATAAAACTTTAAATTCAAAAATGTATTTTTAAAACTATATATTTTTATTGGACCAAGTCACTATTCAGAGTTAAAATCACACTGTTCCAATCATACACAATTGCGATCAGACTCACAGGCGCCACAGAGTGAAAAGCACTATTAGGATATCTCGACTTCTTACCTGCCAATGCAGGATTGCTCCCTACAGTGTCTTTTAGGCAGCTCTTGCACCTAGGTATTAAATTAGTGTGTCAAAACTGTGAGAAAACCTGAATCACTTCTGTGCCACTGCAGTACAGGCCAATGAATTAATAACAGAGTGAGAACCTTAATGTTACATCAGGATTTTAAGATTATTACTACAAATTTCATGTTTTATGTTCCTTTGGATTAAAATTACCCCATAAATCAAAACAATAAGTATTAAACATTCTCTTAACAGTGTAATTGTGTCCAAATTTTGCTGTCAGATAGGTACAGGCAACTTTTATTTACTTCAAGGGGAGCAGCTGTGTATATATCGCAATGCATGGGTTTTGAATATGTAAGTTGTGACCAACCTGTCCTTCCTACATTTGTAAATGGGATGGAAGTCCCAGTTAGATCCTGACTAGGGAGAGATTTGAATTGGAACAGATCAAAAAACACTGTAAGGGTGCATCTAGACAGCAGGGCTTAACTTGAAATAAGCTATGCAATTGATGTAGCTCAATTTCAAAATAGAAATTAGCTTATTTTGAAATTGGGAGCCTCAACACAATACTTATTTCGAAATAGAGCACTCTGCCTCCAACTTCCCTTACTCCTTATACAATGCGGGTTACAGGAGTTGGAGTAAGAAGTCCTCCAGCTTGACAATATTTCAACATTATTTCAAAATAACTGCCTACTGTGTAGACATGGACTACATTATTTCGAAATAATGCTAGTTATTTTGAAATAATGTTGCTGTGTAGACATACCCTAACAGAGTTTGGCCCTAGTTCTAATGGTGTGTGTGTATGTGTATGTGTATGTGTATGTGTAGGAAACTCACAATTCCAGTAAAACTAAGTGACAGCAAAACTCCACACATCCATCATGCTCAGGGAACTGTTCTTATACAAATACTACTATTCATGTTAGGAGGGGCTCTGCTCCAGCTCCCATTCAAATCAGTGTCAATTGACTGAAATAGTGTACTGTTAAAGCCTTTAAAATCAATTTGATTGTCAGCCTTCCATATAAAACACATTATGAAAAGCATATACACACTACAATCTATTACAAGAGGCATACGCTACACATACATAGTAGATGCCTTTCAATTGTAAATATTTTGGCCATGTGAACAGCAGGAGGCACCAATCTAGGCTGTGGACTAACCTGGAAATATTTTATTTGTTTATAGCTAAGCCCCCTTTTTAGAGCTAAGCGAGATAACAACAACAAAATAGTGAGACAGAAACAGTTTTATTCTCTTCTCTCTGAATCAATATTGAGCCAGTATTCCATGAGGTTGAGGGAAGGGGACTCTTGGCTGTTAGAAGTAGTGCCTTGATCGGATATAAAACTGATGTCCTGACCCACTTGCTAGCATTAAAAATCCCATGGTATTCTTGGTAAGGGCTGCATTGTTAACTCCTGCTTCTCAGCCGAATTCCTAGTTGAGGAATCAGGATCTAACTAAATTCCTCTTGCCATTTCTATTGGTCTGTGCTTCCAGTCCTAAAATATAGTGTAATCTAATTATCAAAGTTGATCAAAAGTGGTAATGATGTTAATGTGGAAAAAACTCTCAATTTTCTCATTATTTTAAGATGCAAGAAATAATGAAAAGCTGTTTAGTTTTATAAATCAAAAACAATTTTTTGTCCAGTATTTCAATTTGTTTTTCTCCCATAACACCCTCCATACCCCCTCGCCCACTTGACATTAGTTTAACTACACTGGGCCCTATTTCTGCTTGCTTCTGCACTGCAAGGTTATTTAGCAGTGATTTGGGGCATTTACATTGGTTCAACTGCATCTGATTTCTCCTCACTTCATTCATGTTTAAATATCTCCTTATGTCTGAGTTTTGACCCTCATGATCAAGGATACAGGCATTTTTCTAGACAGAGAAATCAGCCCAAATTCTTTGACAGTCTACAACTTGTGCAGTTATAATGACTTCACACCAGTGAAAGTTTCCAATAACGTCGGTTAGGAGAAGGTGCTAATAAGATCTTAGTGACTGCAAAGTGACACATTAAATGCCATAGGATGGACAAGGGTAATTTGTCACCGGAGAGACAAGTTTGGATTTTTATTCAAAATTGTCACTCAGAATCTATAATGAAAATATTAACAAAACATAAACTACAGTGTTACGTGGTGTCACTGCTAATGGCCTGAATATTGTATAGGAGAAACAGACAGTGAACAGCATAAGTCATGCTATCTACTTCCAAGGTTATATTCTCTGAAATCCATGTCTGGTACAAGGCTCTGTTAAGGAAATAGCCCTGCATACTTTATGCTCATAACTTGTCATAAAAAGTAGAAGTCCATGGAATATAGTGATTAAGGAAGAACTAGGATTAATAACAGTTATACCTTGTTCTCATGTACCACTTTACACCAATGCTTCTCAAAGCATAAGTGCTGTCCATGTGGGGATTCTGGGATTAAAGCACCCATGGAAAAAAATAGTGGGTGCTCAGCACCCACTGGCTGCCCTGCCAATCAGCAAGACTGAAATTACTAACAGTCTTCAACCCCCAAAGTAACAGCACAAAAGGACCAGAAAAGCTGACAGTGGCAGTAGAGCAGGGGTGGCCAACCCATTACAGACGAAGAGCCAAAATAGTAGTGCGTACAGTGTAAAGAGACGAGAGAAAAAAGTTGTTGAGAAAAAAAAAAAAAGCCCCGGCCGCCGCCCTTTTAAGAACAGAGCAGGCTGTTGCCCCTTGAAAGTGGTCATTTTGAAGTCTGCACGGGATGCTGCAACTCTGGCTCTGTTTCTTTCAGACAGAAACATGCTGCCCCTTTCAGAGCCTAAAGCCGCGGGTGCGGAAGCCACAATGTTTTCTTTGAAGAGCCGCATGCAGCTTGCGAGCTGCGGGTTGGTCACCCCTGCAGTAGAGGATCCCCCCATAATCCTAGGGAGCTTGGTGAGCTAACAAACTGTTAAGATGAAGTTTTTTAAAAAAGGAAGCAAAAGTAATTTTTTTTATTCTCATCCACCCTCCACTATACGAAAAAGTCTTGATGGCTTCAAGCCAAATCAGTCATTTCTATAAAAGTTATGAATGGAAATCTCAGATTTGAGAACATGGAAAATTATTTACATGAAGTAGCCACTTTACATTCATGGAAGTGCAAATTAATCTATTTCTTTGGAGTGATCAAGAGATACATCTCAAGACATTCTTCATTTGAGTACAACGTGCCAAAAAATTTTACAGTCACAGGCTTTGGGGAGGAGGCAAGGATGCTGCAGCAACTTGGTAACTAAGGTATAACTCTACTTGCTGTTTATGTCAAAAAGGAACTTATTTAAAAAATAGGTCAACTTTCTTCCCAAGACTATTGCACTTCTCTCTGAATTGACAGCCATGGTCAGGTTGACCTGTGAGTGAAAACACATGAACAAATTTAGACTACTTACATGTATGGCAAGTTAGCACTTTCTTTAAAAATAGTTTATGGCAATAAGCTACCGAGAAACTGTTCTCTGTAATTTGGAGGAGGAAAAGAGATATATAATTATATTGTATATTGTAATTTGTCTTTTTTGCTGCTGAAGTCTAGCCTTCAGTTTGGAAGACTTTAGATAAGCATAAGAAATTATAAAAAAAAAAACAGAAACCAAAATAATCCTAGATAGGTGATGAGAACTCAGGTACAAGTGACTATCTAATATGTGACACAAAAGGAACATTAAATGACAAAATCACAACTATACTGTTACCTCTTGCTAATCGTATAGTGTGCATAGTGTTTAAAAATCAGTGATCATGCTGAACAGGCTTATTTTGTTTATACAATTCTATAAACACCACATTTTTCATTTTTATATGAAGTGGCCCCCATGCACACACCTACACTTTATATTACACTGAAAATTTACATTAAAAGTCTGTGCTTGATGAGGGAAAAAATGGACCTATGGGGAAAAATGGTACAGGATCATGTAACTAAATAATGTATTATAGTGCATATCCACAAGGGGGATGAATTAAGGTTTCAGATGCAACTTCACTCTGGCCCTTCTTAACTTTTGAGTACTTGATTTTGCAAACTTAACATTATTTTAATGTAATGGATTTTATAGGCAATTTCCTAGGTTTTTAAAAAAGAAAACTGAAACTCCCCACAAATCCCATCATGGAACACCATGCTGATGCCTAAATGGATCGTCGGCAAGGTTGGAACCATTAGGTCCACTGCATATACCTTCGTCCCTGGAGCTGTACTTGGGTGATCATATTTTCCTATGCTGAATACAAGACAGCGGTAAAATTACTCATATTCAAGTGAGTTCAATGGCAAACCATCAGAACCATGTAGTACAAATGTTGAAATTAACATCAAGTTCACAGAGCCCCTGTTAAGAATACTGCCTAGTTGGAGTCTTTTTATTTGCCTTCTTGTTTTGAAGAGTTGCCCAGGGAGAGGTCACACACACACGCAAACACACACACACTCCCATTCACCCCTCTCACACAGGGATGGGGGTGACTGACCGACCTGATTCAATACTCCCTACCCAATGCTCTCCACCCTCCATGGCTGCCTGAGTCTCCTAGTACTTGGTCTTCTCAATGCAACATGTAGAGACAAGCAGAGCATGTAGGACATCTGGTCACCCTAGCTGTTATCAATAGTAGGTTGTCATCCTCTATGTGAACTAACCTGGGGGATAGGAGATACATTTTGCCAGTGGATTTCATTGATATTTGCTGACAGCAGAGGAATGATGAGACTTGAATCTTGGGTTCCATTCCAGATTCTGGAGAGAAGTGTCTAGTGGTCACAGACCCTTCTGCCTCTTTCCCACAGATTGATCCCTTCTTCTTCCCTATCCCCTCCAACTTATCCTTGACTTAGTCCTGTCCCTTCCACACTACTGGCTTCCCACCCCAGTTCCTCATCACTGATGTATTTGCCCGGTCTTATCTATCCACTCTGCCAGCTTCTTATTCCAGTCTCTACCCTCCGTCCAGTTCTTCTTCTTTCTGTATTTAAGTCAAACTGCTTCCTCTATCACATTGCCTGGGCACTGGATGGGGGAGCACTGAGAGCACCGGAGAAATAGTCTCCCAGCTCTCAATGCTAGTGCATGGTGCCACAGCAACCAGGAGTAGCAGTTACAGGGGATGTCCTGCTCACCTCCCTGGACCATGCTCAGTGCGAATGGAATCATGAACAACTTTTTCCATCCATGAGCAGAATAAATTGTCTTGTGCACCAAGGCATGCGTGGAAGTGCACCACTAGTAGAAACATATGCTGCCAGCCGTGGGCAAAATTAGCTGGGCAGCATTTCAATCTCTTCTTACAGGAAACACTAATCATGAAAGAACTTGAACAGATATTCAAAGAGACCACAAAAGGGTATCCCTGATGCAAAGGCCACCACCCTGCCCAAGTACAAACCCCTGCCCCACAGGATGTAGATGTCCTCAACAAAACAGTTGAAAGATTTTTTGTGTGTGAACATGGACCGAGCTTTATTCTTAGTAATGGCTGAACTATTTCAGCTCAATCTTTCACAAATAAATAAATAAATAAATAAATAAATCTGCATAAGGCAAACTTGCAGAAGGGAAAATTTCAGCCCAATGGTTAAAGTTTGACAAAGTTATGAGGCATTGAATACAGGATCTTGGAATGCGAAATGTTGGGCATCCCTACTTACAGTCAGCCCTACCTTTGCTAGTGCAAAACTCTTGTACATCATACAAGATCAGCCAGCGTGAACTTTTTTTTTGAATGAAGCCATTAACATTTGCATTATTTTTTTCTTGTACAACTTGCAAGGAGTTTGGCTGCTAATGGCCAAGAACCAATAGAAGGAAAAGTAGGAGAGTTTTTTTGTTTTGCTTTAACTTTATCCTCAATTCGGAAATACTTCAATGCCTACTTCTCTCAAGATAAAATTTAACTGTGGTGCAGAGGGCCCACAGAATGCTCTCTACAGCTGTTAAAACCTAAGGGTATGTCTAGACTACATGCCTTTGCCGACAAAGCATGTTTCACGAAGCATGAGAGAGCAGTTGACAAAGGCGTTACCTGTCGACCGAGCCGCATCTTGACTGCCGTGCTGTGCTGACGATCAACTAAGCTGGCACAGTGCGGCGGCCATTTTTATTTTAATGAAGTGGGGGATATTTAAATCCCCGCTTCATTGACTATGTTGGGTAGTCTAATTTACATGCCTCTGTCGGCAGAGGCATGTAGTCTAGACATACCCTATGGGACAGGAGTGGTAACATAAGCAGCATGCTGCAAAGAAGAGGTTGGTGCGTATTCCATACTAACCACAAGGGGGTGAGTTTTAGGAAGGGAGCATTAGATTTATGAGTATTCTGGAAGATTTGAAACAGGATGGAGTAGCAACTGACAAGGGCTGAGTTGCAGTTCTCTGACTGTCTGTGAGTTGGAAATGCTGGTTGTTAACTCTGCCCCAACCCTCCACCTCTGATAGAGTGTCCCATATGATGCTGGCTTTGAGCAGAAGCGTGAAATATGCTCTTAGTACTCATGTGACTAACGACTTGGGCTGAGATTTTCCTAAAAGGCAAAGGGAGTTCGGTACCTACATCCTAATAGAATTTAATGCGAGTTGCACCCCCTAAATAACACAGACTCAATTGCAGATCCCATGCTTGCCTCCTCTGCTGCCACTCTCTCTTCTACTCTGAACATGGAGTGGTTCAACTTAACCAACCTGTGCTCACTGGCACCTGACTCAATCCCCCAGGCAAGCCTACTTCTCAAAACTTCCCTTTAAAATGATGTCTTTCTTCTCACTATCTCTGCTCCAACAAATGGGGTACAAAAGCTTTTCATTCTTCCAGAGCTGCTTCCTTTTTCCTGTGCCAAACAACCTAAAAGCACCTCAGCAGGGCAATGCAGCTGACATGAAATGTGAGCTGATGCCCTTCCAACCATAGCTATCTTTAAAATTTCCATTTCAGGTCCAAATTGTTTACTTATCTGCTACTCCCATATGTTAAGGGAAGTTCAGGCTCTGTTGCTCTAGGTGCATTTTAATACAGAGGGAAGAACTGCTCCAGCTATTTCGTATTACATCTTCAAGCTTTATCTGGTGCTGCAAATTACAAAGCTGCTCCACTGAATTGGATAAAGATTATATTTTTGAATACTAGTTTCTAAAGAATGCACATTTTTCACTTTGAAATGGATAATCTATCCTGCACCATAGGGGCTCATTGCATCCTTTGCTCCCCAAACACTTCTTCTAATTTAAGGTGGCAGATTACTCATGTAGGTCCATGAGTAGCTGCCATTGATATATGCACTGTCATCAGTGGGAGTGCCAAACACAGAATGAATGTGTGATGTTCAGTAGCATCTATATGCAAAAAGAACTGCAATGAAAGAACATCAGCACAGATCTTCTCCTGTATACACTGCATTATTCTTAAATTACGCTGCTTCTATATGCAAGTATAGATCTGTACGTACATATGTATTATATATATTTATGTATGTAATATGTATAAATATACTAGACATACATATGTACATACATATATACACACACAAATATACACTGGAGATTATTTCACACTCATATTAACTACTGGCTGAAATTTGATTTAAATACTCCATGCCATGTTTTAAAAAACAGTTCTAAAAAAGGTGTGACTAAGATACAAATTCCATAAAAGAAAATTCTGATGCATTGATCTCACTAATGCAAGACCATAATTGGAGCCAAGCCTAGCACACTTGCCTAGCACACTTGCAGCTGTGTGTCTATTGATGGCCTCAGGAGCCTTTTTTAGCCCTTTCTAAGAGGGAAATACTATTCCTTCACCTGTGCCTGAAGTCCATTCCCTCCACTCTTGACTCTCTCAGGCTCCTGTAAGCATGATGTTCAGGCTTGTTCTTTTCAAAGCATCCTCACAGCAAGTACCTCAGTGCATTTGTTCCCATTGCCTGTCCTACAGGTCAGAATGTGCCATTCACTGCAAACAGCTGTGCTGCCTTTATCTAAGGGAATGAATTCAGCCTTTCCCCCGAGTTTATGAAATATCTGCAAAAAGATTAGGGATTGCTATACCTATTGTTTGTTTGAAATTATACTTTATGTGGATACATTTTAGACAGGACCAGATTTAGGACAATTTGGATCCAAGGCATGCCATGAAACATCTCCCCTGTGGCTACATAGTCAATCCATATCCACATGGTCAGGAAGCAGGATATCCCCTCCCCTGCCCACCGTTCTCTCTCAAATAGAAGTGGCCCCTTTTCACCACCAGTGGCAGTTGAGCTCCCCTACCTTCTGAGAAACATGGGGAGCAGCAGCAGTCTCCTCTCTATCCCCAAGGAAGAGGAATGGCTTTAAGACCCGCCCCCTCTCTCCCTATTCAGACACCCTGGTTGCTGGAGGCAGAATCTTCTCAGACTGGTGGGCTGAGCCCTCTGCATTCTTCTACTGCCATACATGGAGTCGTTTGCTGGGGAGGTGTTTGTGGGTCCTGAAAAGCAGTGTATCCTGGATTTAGTATCCTGATTACTGAGAAACATGGGGCATTTCACACCTCTCAGAGCAATTGCTCCAGAGTCAGCCAGGCATCATTGCATCAGTTATACAGGTGGTCAGGTCATCTTTTCAGTTTTCTTTCCCAACATGAGGGTTATAAATTTATTTAAAAAACCCCATTAACTAAGAATCTTCTAGATTTGCATGGTTCCTAGAGCTGTGACTATTTTTTTCCATGGGTGCTTTAGTCCCAGAATCCCCACATGGACAGCACTTATGCTTTGAGATGCATTGGTGTAAAGTGGTACATGAGAACGAGGTATAACTGTTATTAATCCTAGTTCTTCCTTAATCACTATATTCCATGGACTTCTATTTTTTATGACAAGTTATGAGCATAAAGTATGCAGGGCTATTTCCTTAACAGAGCCTTGTACCAGACATGGATTTCAGAGAATATAACCTTGGAAGTAGCCTTCCCCACTAAAATGCCACCCAGGAGCAGTGGAAGGAGTCAGCCAGATGAGTAGTTGTGCACAGATGTCCACATCCTCCTTCATGCTGTGGCACTATGCTTACATAAGCCAGCATTAGAGGTCACAGTGCAGATAGCTGGGGGACAGGCCATAGACAGGAACAGGGAACTATAATTGCACGGGTCCATGCATCTTGCCAGAGGGGCAGTGGCTGCTATTCAAACTTAAGAGATACCTGGGACTTTGGAATAGTGAATTTCACTTGTTCCACTTCTCTGCATTCCACTTCCATAAAGTCTGGACACTGAAGGCCTGATTCTTTTTTCACTTACTCTGGTGTAAATCAGGAAAAATTCCACTGAAGCTAATGGCATTTCACCTGTGTAAAACTGCTGAAAGCAATAGGAGAAGCAAGCCCTCAGGCTTTTAGCTAGGAGTCATTATTAATCCAAGTATTCAGAATTCACCATTTGAAATTCAAGCTGTGCTGAGTGAACATGTAGGGAAGGGAACAGAGATATAGCAAGCAACCAGGTGAGATGAGTGCAACTCTTTGAAAATGTTTGTCTGAATACTTGTGATGTGAATTTGAATCTGGCTTTTTGAAAATCTGGCCACTTAATTGGGGGCCTACCCAGGGAGTTGAGCTCTTTTGAAAATTCAGCCCATTGTAACAAAAGTACCTAGAAATGATACAGTTGTTTAGATTGCTCAAAAACAACATCTCTAAAGTACTTTGTGGTCACATGTGGTATATACAGAATACATGTTGGAATGGTATGGCATTCAGGCTTCACTAGTATCTCCTTGGGATGGTCTGCATGACTCACTCACAAGTGCCTACCCCATACTAATAAAAACCCTTCATACAGCTCCATCAGATTCTCTTTCTATGCCTGCAGTCACTCACATTGCAAGAGCCTTTTAAAGGGTTGAAATTAACATGAAATAAGATGAGAAAGGTAACATGAATTTGTTAATAATAAGATCACTGAACCACTGCATGTAATATACCCTGTAGTTCTGTTCTTTCAATGGGAATGTTCCTTGTATGACTTAATTAAAGAAGATTACTTCTTTGGTAGCGAGCAAGGTGTTTCATAGAATTTTTTAAATAGGCAGAAATGAATCCAGTTTTTCTTATTTAACTGAGATGCCTTTCTTGGCGAGATAAATGTGGGGGAGCGGAGGAAAATAAAACTGTTCTTTATATTTTAAAATATTTAATATAACAACCACCAATTTGAAGTCATTTATATGCCTAATTTAGTGCTAAAAGTCAATAACTAAGGATCATAGGGCTCCTGGGTTTCATCCTATTCTTTTCTGGAAATCATCTTAGACTAACTGCAGAAATCCATCAGTCGAGCCTTTATTCTGCATGATTGTATTTTTCTATACTGCCACTAAAGTTCTTCTTATGAACTATAAAACATGCATACCTTATTTTTGGGAAGCCAGATTTTGTGTCAACCCTTTTTCCCATTGTTGTCAATGATCCCACTGATGCCAATCTGGCTCAGGTTTCTGTGTTTCACACTCAAAAAGAGCAAAATATAGCCACTATTTAAAACAGCCCATGAAAACACTGATATTGTGTCATCATCACTTCTGTCACCCCTGCCATGGTTACAAACATGTGATCCAGACAAAGGGTAAGAATATAATCAGGTAAATATTTTTTTCATTTACAATGACATTGAGATTTTTATTTTTAGGGGTTTCGTTGAGAAATGTGAGGAGCTATTTCTCTCCTCTAGTTTTTAACTGTGGTTGTAAAAGTTGGAGGGTTTTTTTAGGTGGAAGACTGATTTGATGTGCAGTTCTCCTGACACTACACATTTGCAGAGCCTCTTCCTTTAATCAGAGTAGTGGCATTCTCTAGAGGAAGATTTTTGGACTAATGTTTTTACAGAGAATTTCAATCCATTTCATAGCCAAAGAGGCATTAGGGATGCCACAAAGTTGAAGAAGACTTTTGGATAGTACCAGAAGATCATAATAATAACCCCTAATGACTAGACACACCAAATTCTGTTATTAATGCCCACCTTAATCATGATATTGAAGAAAAGACAATTCCCATAATAATAGGCTTCCACTGCAATTTTGACAGTGGGAGCCCTGTCATGCATGGGTCTGACAATGGAAACTCCAGCCTTCCCTGTTATATGCCTTTGTGACACCCCTCCTCCCCCACACATTGTCAGCCCTGGGCTCCTGCTGTCAGCCTGCGGCAGCTACTAGTTCCCCTTCCCCCCACCCCCACAGTCAAACCCATGCACAATGAGGCTCCCACTGTCAGCTTTTCCAAATTACCACTAATAAGAAAAGGCCCATTATTACTTTTCTATGATTTTCCAGGTCTGATCAGCAACTCAGCCACAATTATTTAACAATTGACCCATGATTCAAATTGGGCCTTAGTTATCATGTACTGGCCAAATCCAGCAGCACCTATTCAGGGACATCATTGGAGGTAGACATGGGATGAATCTGGCCCCTTGTTTTTGCTAATGAAAAATTCCTTGCTTTTGTGGTTTTAAGGTAGCTATTTTACATCAAGAGTAATGCTTTTATTGTAATCATTGAATCCATGATGGCTGATGACATTTATGTTGAAATACTGTATGTGTTTTAAATAATATCTATTCATTATAGATTTAACACATACTTAGAAGAGCACAGAAAAAATTCTAATGAAAAATGTCCATGAAAAGCTACTACATTTTTACATTGCGGTACCTCAGCTGAGGTAGGCCTTTTTGTAAAATAACGAGCAACAAAATTTCATTTTTAAAATATCCAACATATTTTAAGTTGACAAACTATAAAATACTCATAATCACAACTGTTTATTTTTGTTTAGCACTCCAGGATATTAAAAAGAGCCAAAATGTAAAAAGATGACTCTCCATTTTGCATGCCATGAAGCTCCCTAAAAATAGACACTTATATTTGACATTTTGACAGATTTTAAGTGCAGAAATCCCTGAAAGAATCTCCATACTACACCATATCTAAAAGCACTTTTGCCATTTTTGGCATGGGCAAACTTGGAGAAATCCAATTCTGCTCCACTGAAGTCAAATGGAAATTTGTCATTGACTACATATGTAGTATGTTTGCTCCAATAAAGAACATGCAGCCACTTGAAACACAACATATCCTTTGACATTCAAAACCAAATCAAACTTGGCCAACTTATGAACAATTCAATGATAAAATAAGATGCAGTTCTTATGTTCTTATGTTCATTATCAGTAATTTAAGAGAGCATAACCAGTCTGTCACAATTTGGTCATATCTGTTATTACCAGAGAATGGCAAGATACCATCTGAACACTTGAAAAACAAGGAAAATAGAAACATCGTGTACTTAACTCTTGCCCTTTGACCTTTATCATGCATCCCCAGGAAGAGTGTACTGGCACTAGACTTGACAACTTCACAGTATGTATAACTGCAGGAATCAGTCTCTGGCCATGCCTCCACTTACCAGAGGACTGACACTCTGCTGATCAATCTACCAGGATTCAATTTAGTGGGCTTTTACCAGTCCCTGCCAGCACGGATATGCCTCCCTCTTGCAAGTAGTAAGGGAATGGGAGAATGTTTCTCCCATTGATCTTCCACTGTGGAGATGGCGCCAAGCTCTGCTTAAGGTACGTTGCCTCCAATTGCATTATTTATGTAGCTGGAGTTATACCGTAAGCCAACCATCCCCCTGCAGTGTAGACCTATCCTTTGAAATGAGATCTTTGGTCATTTGTATAAAGTCTCAGTAATTGAATACAGAAGTAGAACTTCTGATTCTCCATGTTTCTCTTTAACTAATAGACCACGGTCCCTCAGGAAACGTGATGCCAAAACTATTCTAATACTGTCAAAGTGGCCATGTATGCATCTCCTTACATATCAGAACACTTGCAGTGGTGTACACCCATCTCTGAAAATAAGTCTCTTAAGATTTCTGTGCTCCACATCCTCCATTTATAGATTAGAGGAAATATTTAATCAGATCAAAGGCATGTTGTGAAAATGAATTAACCATTGTAAAGTCCTATGAGATCTTTGGATAATAATGGCTACAGAAACACAAAAGGCCAGATCCCCCAGTGGTGCAATCCGGCACAGCTCTGTTAATTTAAATGGAACAATGGGCAGATATAAACTAGCAGAGGATCTGTCCGGTGTATTATTCTGACTGAAGAAAACAAAACTTAATTTATTATTATTCATCCAAATTTTTTAAAACCATTAAAATTCTGGATTTTTTAGCTGAAGGAAATTAATGCGGAAAACCTCCTCATAACTCCCCCTTTCTCAGGCTGCTGATTTTCTAAAAATATAATGGACTTGCTAAGTTTTTTTTAACAAGCTGCATGAATAAAAGCACCACCATAAATTCACTGGTTTATAATAAGAACAGATGTTGACAGATTCAAATCACTTCGGCTACTGATGCTGCAAACAGACTTTACAAAATGGAAATGATGGGACTTCTCCCTCCACCCATGAATTCTAGAAATAACACTATTGTATACTTATGTTCACATTACCAATGCAATCATGGAAAATAGCAGCACAGGCCTGTAATGATCTAGGAAGAATATCTTGTTAGGAAAGTAATAGAAATGTAGCCGTGTTAGTCTGGTGTAGCTGAAGCAAAATACAGGACTATGTAGCACTTTAAAGACTAACAAGATGGTTTATTAGATGATGAGCTTTCGTGGGCCAGACCCACTTCCTCAGATCAAATGTCTTTTTCCCCACTCCTCTTGTGGGGCTCAGCATTACCCTGAGATTCAGCAAGGAAATACATTACATTAGGTTAAATGTACTACACTGAAATGTCATTTTTAATTCTTCTTATCCTTTTCTGCCTGACATAAAACTGTAACTTTTTCAATCACAAGATTCATGAAAGATATAAAAAAAGAATCAATGGGCATAAAATAGGGAACATAATAACTGTCTATCTTATCACAATTGGCTTTATTTTATTGAATGACATGGAGCTGGGGTTTAAACATATTCTGACATGATTCCTTTAAAATGTAAAATGAAAGTCAAACAAAAGGAACCCTGATAGGCAAACTTTTGGGATGCCATACTACCTTCTACCAGTGCACAGAACTCCTGCTGCCACCAATGGATGCAGAGAACCCATGGCTTACCAACTATATATAACCTCAGATATCTGTGGGACTAAACTGCCAGCTTCTGTGAAGGTGTGGGAGAACTGTGTGCCAGCTTATCATATTTGTGGCATTTAGATAGTGTGCCCACTAAATGCATGGTAGACTAGACAATTAGGGTATGTCTAGACTACATTGCTCTGCCGTTAGAGCCATGTAGATTAGTTTACTAGACATACCCAAATGAAGCAGTGATTTAAATAATTGCCGCTTCATTTAAATTAAAATGGCTGCCACGCTGTGCCCATCAGCTGTTTGACGGCACAGCGCTGTAGTCTGGACGATCCGCGGTCGACATCAAAGGCATGTGTCAACCTCCCTGGTAAACCTCATCCCACGAGGCATACTTGGGTGGTTGACAAATGCCTTTGATGTCGACCGCAGAGCGTCCAGACTACAGAACTGTGCCACTAAACAGCTGATAGGCACAGCGTGGCAGCCATTTTAATTTAAATGAAGCAGCGATTATTTAAATCACCGCTTCATTTGGGTATGTCTAGTAAACTAATCTACATGGCTTTGGCGACAGAGCCATGTAGTCTAGACATACCCTTACAGACAGCCTGAAAATGTTCTATGCTTTGAACTGAAAGCCATAGTGAAGGTTATTCTTTGCAAGGACATGTACATGAAAAGATCAAAGTTCTCTCCTGTGGTCATAACTAAGATCTCTTGTTGGCTCTAAGTGCAGTGGATCCTGATTATACAGGACTTAGGCTACCATATGTTTAAACATTTAATGGGATAAGGGTTCAGTCCATCAGTTCCCTGCCTGATATAGGGAAGGGGTGGCAATGGAGGCAGTGCCTTCAGCAAAAGTTCTGGAGTGAAAGTAACCCACACACCTACGAGGTGTGGTTCACTGACCTGTATAGTGGCACCTAGATCACTTACACACAGAGAGAATGAGTGCGCGCTACAGGCTTAGCTGCGAACCAGCTGGCTTTTAGCTCAAGCTGTCGAGGCTCATGTGCTAAACTCCAGAAGACCCAGGTTTGGGTCCGCTTGATAGTGTTTCACAAGCACACCTGGGCTACCATACAAAGTGCTCTCAGCCTTGCTGAATGGGGAATTCGTGTACAATAGGGGGACTTTGAGAATAGTATAAATCAGAGGAGATGGAGAAAGTATAAAAGGAAAAAATAGGAGGGAGCCATAGAAGAAGAACGAAAGGAAAGAGATGGAGCTATTCAAATATATTTCTCCAACTTAATGATTTCTTTAAAAAACTTGACTTGATTATTAATCTTTAAATACAGATACCTTCTGTGTGCTAGAACATGAACATAAATCAGCATAACTTCTCTGACTTCAGTAGAACTACTCTGACTTATTCCAAGAGAAGATCTAGTTCCATATGTTGTTTTATACAGAAAGGAAAAATCTACAAAATTAATTGAACCAGCTAGATCCCCTTTGCTAGATAAAGTGATCCTGAATTTATTCTGAGAGATACTTTTTTTACAGTGAATTCCAGTAAGAGTAAAGGTGCAAGGAGAATAGAGATAAATAAATTAAAGGACTTGAGAATTTTAGTTTATGAAAGTCAATGTGTCTGAAGAGAAAATCAATATGTCTGTCTAACCACAAACTGGCTTATGTAAGAGGTAGCCAAAATGCCAGGTTTCCTCCAATCATCAATGAAGATGTGTAATCAAAATTGAACTGTACGTACCCTCCCAGTACAGCATCTGCTTTCTGGAGATTGGATCTAAAGAGATGTATGTTTCTTGTGGGACAAGAGAGGATTAAGGCATCATGCTAGTTCTCTTTTAGTCATATCACACTATGCTATCAATATCTTTCTGCCTATCCTGACTAAGAGAAAATTCAATCAGGACACGGGCAAATATCAACAGAAAAAGCTTTGATACCAATTTCTGGAATGTCAGATCCATTGCTGTAATAGCTGTTGCTTCATTTTACAGGCAAACACATTCTAAGATTTCAAGCACCAGATGATATTTTGATGCAAAATTATATATTATTATGAAAATAGTGTAACCCGTATCTTGTACATCTATTTCAAAGTTTACCTTATGTCATACTGTTGACATTAAGCAATGCTCCAAAATCAAAGAGGCCTCTTTTTGCCCTCTTAATTGATTCATTTGAATATTCCAAATTTATCTTCATAAACATCCAGCTTTTTTAATCTGAAAAAGAGAATGGAAGAAAAAACAGAAAAAAAAATTGCAAGGGAGATGGTGGCATTCACTATTAGGCTTGGAAGATTTAGCTTTTAAATGTTAGTAAACATTGATTTCACTGTACACATACAAGTGGACAAAAAATATTTCCACCACCAGTACTTAAAATTTACAGATACAGATATGCAAAGTAAAAATGCTGCTTCAGAACTTAAGAGTTTTATTTAAGGATATCTACATCATATATTTTGACATAAGATGTTGACAATTTATATTTTAATTGTTACAAAGCTTTAACTTTTTGAAATTAATTCAAAATTAATTAAATAATTATTGTTTAACTTGCTCGATTTCCTGCCATTCCATGTAACTCTGTGCAACTTAAAAAAATTAACTAGATAAAACAGAAAAAAATGCTTAAAACAAACATTTTCAACTGGAATAATAAAAATTGTAATTCTGCCAAGTATATCTACTATTTAAAGCAAGAGACTAGGAGTCAGTGTATTTTTCTCAGCACTGCTTTGATTCTGTGAACTTGAAGTCAGTCATCTAGAAAATGGGTGTAATAATGTGTACCTATCTCACCAGTGTTGTAAGGCTTAATGAAGTAATATTTGCAAAGTGCTTTGATCTCATTACATTACATTGCCATTTGCTGTGATACTCTGTAGCATCATAACGGAAGGTACCTTATATGTTTTTTTGTCTTTTTTTAAGGGAGAGGAGGGTAAAGGTGGCTACCATTCTCAGAATCTCAAAAATTCCTGCCCTTGCCCATTTCAGATTTATTTGCCTCCCTGTCACTCTCAAAACTCTCTTTGTGATTATGTTCATCCTTTTGGATGACAAGGGCTGGGTGTTGTACCTGGCACAAGCAGCCTTCATCATTTTGAGATGATTGATTGACAAGGGTTCCACTACAGGAACTCTTTTCTACAGTCTTCCTACCCACTGGCCTTGTGCATACATACATTGGTACACAAAGGGGATAAAGAATTAGAAATATAAGAGTAAAAATATATTGCTCAATATCCTCCACCCCCATCTAGATAAGAGTGAATTGGTAGGTTGCTGTTAATCTGTGAACTGTATTTATGCATGTTTTCTGTTCAAGCTGGAGTTTTTTTCACTAGGCAACATGTTTAACTACCGGCCGAATTCATTGTGAAAACCTTAATGAAAGTAAAAAAATATATTACCCACATCCTGGTATATTAGTGCGTGCCTTAAACTGGGATTAGGTTTTGAACTGTGAACTTCAACTGCAAGTCATGCTAGCATGTCAATAAAGCTATTGCAATAACATTTCCGAAGAGAATGGGTTAATAGCTAATAGGGGATTTATATCTTGCACTATTGTTTGCTTTTGAATTTAGTTGAGCTTGTAAACTGGAGAATAGTTCCGACAGGAAAAAAAGACCAAGTGAAAGATACGCAGCAGGTTTCCTGTTTACAGGTTTAAAAATTCAAATAACTGGCAGTGACATAACAAATGACAGCTCTGACTGCTACTGACAGTCTGTTACTTTTGCAGTTGCCTTCTAAAGCTTTATTATTTAGCATCAGATAGCACAGTTGGCCCCAAAGGAAAAGACAGGTTGCTTCAGATGACAGGATCTTTACAATGGGCAATCAGGATGGCCATTAGTGTTTATCCACTGCAATAAGTGTATAAATCACAGCGAATGGCTTCCCCTTGGAGTAAGGATCAGTTGTTTTATTCTTTCCCAGGAGCAAGTATTACCCACCAAATCATCAAAGTGCCAGGCATGCTTTATGCCTGTTTCAATGAGCTGTTACGTCTCACTGCTAAATCTCTGTAGACCACTAATAATATCTGTACTACACTCAGAGAATTGATTATCAAATGAGATACAACAGTTTGTGTGTATACAAATAATTTTTCCTTATTGTTGTGAGCTGGCAGTCAGGGTTAGGATGTCTCATTTATCAATTAAACCTTTAATATTTGCTGATCCCCTTATTATGCATCATTTTGGTGAGGAAAGGAAGATATTATGAAGTTAGGAATAGGGACTATGTAGCCTTGATTTGTGCATGCAACTCCCATTGACGTCAGTGGGAATTCCAATCCAGACTAAAAATAGTCTTGTAGAAGCAAATCCACAGGTGGAGTTTTGCATCTAGAGTTACAGCAGATATTACCATGAAACTGCGGGCTTCCCCAATAGGGTATGTCTACACTACAGAGTTTTGTCAGAAAAATGGCCATTTTTCTGACAAAACTCTGTAGTGTAGACATACCCTATTGGGGAAGCCCGCAGTTTCATGGTAATATCTGCTGTAACTCTAGATGCAAAACTCCACCTGTGGATTTGCTTCTACAAGACTATTTTTAGTCTGGATTGGAATTCCCACTGACGTCAATGGGAGTTGCATGCACAAATCAAGGCTACATAGTCCCTATTCCTAACTTCATAATATCTTCCTTTCCTCACCAAAATGATGCGCTTTTGAGTGTGGACACTTTTTTGGAAGAAGTTTTTTCAGAAGATCTCGTCCGAAAAAAGTTTCTTCTGAAAGAAGCCTGTAGTCTAGACATAGCCAAAATGAAGTAAGGGGATCACTAAAATAATTTACACTTCATTGGCACATAGGAATCACTAAAATAATTTACACTTCATTGGCACATAGGAATTGGCAATGGATTGGTTCAGTGGCTCACTAAGTCCAGTCTCCTATTTCTGTCAATGGCCAGGATGAGAAGCTTTACAGGAAGGTGCAAGTAACACCACAGAAGTTAATTATGGAAAGGCTACTTATTTGGGAAGTTATTTCCTAATTTCTTATCAGCTAGTGATTAGCTTATCCCTTATGAAGGTTTGTATATTTCTTAGAATATATTTATTTTTATCCAGTGTATCTATAGATGTGTATATATATAATGTTTTATCCTTTTTCCAATTCCACGGAGCTCTTATACCATGACAATGAGTTCCACAGGTTAATTATTCCAGTATTTGCTTTTACCAGTTTCAGATTTGGTTCTTTTCAATTTCACTAAATACCCCCATGTTCCTGTACCATGAGAAAGGATAAACAGGAGTGCACAACCTGCTCTGCTCCACTCATTTTCTTAATCTCTGTTGTATCTTGTTTCAGTCCTACCTCTTAGCAATTTCTTTCCCAATGGGAGAGCCTGGGCAGTGAGCCAACCCTTGTTCCCTTTAGTATTAACAGTCCAATTCAGATTTTGTTGCAGCTAAACAATATGCTATTTTTCTTCAATGAAGAGAGAGAGAAACAACTAAAAACAGTGAATTTATTTCTTTCCTTTTGAATGCACTCAGCAGTGGGAAGCTATACTTCTATGGGTCATGAAAAACAAGTTAAAGGGGTTAAACAAAAAAGGCAGGAATTTTGCAGGTCTAAGTTCATGTCTGTGCTTCACTCTTTGCTTTTTCTCTCCAGCCCAGTTCCTAACAGGCTCCCTGAGAAGAGCATCATTTTCTGATCTCTCAAAAATGCTGTTTCTCCTTTCTAATTTAGCAAGGGCTCCACATAACAAAGCTCTTTCTCTAGACATCCTGCTGTGATTTTGTTTGTAGCCAATTCCATAAATATTCTTTCTAGCACCCTTCTATTTCCCTTGGTGAACATTTTTGTGGAGAATGTGGTATAGATTTCTCACACAGTAAGCCTGTAATCTCTTCCTACATTAGTAAATATTAGCCTCCATGAGGATAAAAATATAACACATTCAGGTATAGCCACCCATCTTATTTAAAAAAAATCATATTTGAAATTGGGCAATGTGCCCAGATACATCAGTTACACTGGAAACCCCAAATCCCCTTTGCATCCAAACCCTGGTTTATCTGAGCAAAGTATATACCCTTTGTTCCGTTCAGTAGAAAGGGTTTGGTCCTATAATTAGAAATGCAAGTTATAAGCCAAAGAAAGATCTGTAACAATTTAAAGCAAGGATTTAATTAAGGATGTTAAGAGTATCAGTGAAAAAGGTTTAAGAGTGGCAAAGGGTAAAGTGAAGAAAGAAAGAAAGAAAGAAAGAAAGAAAGAAAGAAAGAAAGAAAGAAAGAAAGAAAGAAAGAAAGAAAGAAAGAGGTATAGGATATTCCCATGGAATCTGTTATTTTGTTTTCCCTTTCTCATTTTAAAACTGCCTTACTTTATAAAGTTAAACAATTTTATAAAACGGCAGTTTTATAAAATCATTCGTGTTCCAGTGTTCATTCTGAACAAAGTCATAATAATCACAGAGATGTGCTATCTGAACCGGTGTGTGGAAAAGCTGTTTCCCCATGGCCATATGTAGGTAAAATAAGCAGTGATTTAAATGATCATTTTTTAGGGTTTAAAGAGAGGCACAAAGTGGGAGAACCTAGAGTTATACAAGTCCTCTTTGAGTTCACCAAGGGGTTCCACACTTAAATCAGATATACTCAGTAGAATCTGAACCTAGGCATGGAATGAGGAAGAGGGCTGTTTCTGGAATGAGACAGTGGCCAGGTCTACCCTAAAAATTAGACTGACCTAACTACGTCGTTCAGGGCTGTGAAAAAATTCCTGATCTAATCTAGAGACTCTGGGCATAATTGTAATAAAAACCGTACCCCTAATTTGTAGGACAAACAGGTAATCACATGTTTAGGGTGGAATTTTCAAAAACTCTTCACTATTATGTACTACTTCTACTGAAGGCAATGGGAAAATCTCCCATTGACTTCAAAGGGGTAAGAGACAGGCCAATGTTAAACACTTCTAAAAACTGTGGATCTATTTTAGCATTTGAATATACATGTTTTTGCGCTCAATACATAGGATAAATACATAGGTGGAGTCTGTTTTTGAAAATATGGCTAGGTTGCTTTATTGCACGGGAAGAACATATTCATACCAACCTGTGCCAACCTTCTGATTAAAATAAGTTGCCACTGGCACTGAAATTGCATCTGGGGGCTTTACAGGTGGCCAAGAGATTCCATTCTTATAAATGGATCCAGTAACACTGGCAGTTCTCCCGTGTCTCCTCCTCACCAATGAAGAGTTCTGGGCAACTCCAG